GGGGTTCCAGGAACTATGGGGTGTCAGTGTAACCCCAAGGAATGATTCTTCAAACAAACCTGTTACCCTGAAACCATCTTCCCGAGGCAAGGGAGTTAACTGACTATAAAAAAGTCCAGTTTCCACCCTTGCCGAACTAGGCTGGTATTATGGAGTTAGATTTTGTCTGGACTAACGAGTCTATGCATAGTCCAATCAAAATCGCAAACCAAATGGAAATCCAGTTCGTAAACTGGCATGCAGAGTTCGGTCGATTGCAGGATTTGCAAAGCATGTGCACCGCCAACTCGTTGCCTACAGATATTTTCCAAATCTGTTCAAGTTTTTAATCAAGGTGCTCACATGAGTTGATGCACTTCGCAATGTAAGACCCAATTTATCACAATATAGATCTTGATTGTCAATCAGATCGTCTTGTCTGGGCGCTGACATTTTGTTTGAAACAAATGCAAGTGATACGAGAGGTGGAATCTGATTGGTCCATAGGAGAGGCATAGAAGGGACATAACTTTTAACAGCCACTGGTGGCGCTACAATCGAGCCCAGGAAAATTCCAGCCTAGTTCAGCAAGGGTGGAAACTGGACTTTTAATGTCAGTTGACTCTCTTGCCTCGGGAAGATGCCCTGAAATATGTTCCTCTGAATAACAGCTCAAATAACAAACATTATCACATACTCATTCTACTACTGCAGTCTACTGCCAAACAACCTTCTGTACTAAGTATGTATACTAAATTAATGACCGACCTTCTATACTTATGCAAAGTCGGGCTCTAAGGGTCCCCAATCAATTTAAAGAGAGGCAATATCCATTATTTTAACTACTTGTATTACAGATCCACCAGTTACCAGGGAAATATTCATGTCTCCTAACCTCTTATCTAATATGGTACAGTTATATCGACATTTTGACAATCTGCATTTTTCCTTTTGCTCCAGCAAAGACTCCTCTTGCGGTGAAAAGATAGACTGAAAAAGGCTGATTATTCAAACTTCAGATGAAAATCTAATTATGACCAAGTTTAACCCAAGATGGGTGTTTTACCATAATGATTGTACTGTTCTTCACCTCAAGACCAAGAATTAAATTCAAACATTGCGAAAATGCTCCCCCCAAACCTTTTAAATCTATCTTTTTGACACCTTTTATCCATAGGGAGTATCCATTTGATTTATATGGGGGAGGGGATTTTTTCTTGAGGACAATCGATTTTTTCCCTGCTGTACCCAACCAACTATTTATTTACTGAGCACCATCTTACAATCTATTCATTTTCACTATTAATACACAAAAATTGGGTATTTTCCACAAAACAAACGATTCTTTCATTCACAACTGCCAACAAACTATTCACTTTGGCCACATTTAAAAAATGCCACCCCACCCTGACCACTACCCCACACCCCTTGAAATCAAATGGAAGCTCCCTAATCTATGCACAAAGGACTGTCATAGGTCCCAAACAAAGTCAAGTTGTCATTGACACGATCACACCTAATAACTTTCAGAACAATTTCTTTTTTCCCCTCCTGCATTCTGGTATTTGGTGGATTAAAAATCTGTACAAGTACTTAAATGTGTCTGTCCCCAGTGTCCATTATCACAGGGTGCATGAGGCAGCATCACAATAAACCTGACTTCTAAAGATCCATTAAGTTCATAATATATTCCACTGACCAAGTGACTTGCATGGAACACCTTAATAGTGAAAATCCAGATATCACATTTTCAGGAATACCGTATTATATACCGTATTCGACGTAATAAGTGCCCAGGATGCTCTCAAAATTAGAAATAGGGGGCTCTTATTAGAATATTATTTTGGTGGGAAAAAAACAGAGCTGAAAGATAAATTTCGTGGTTTATGCTGACAGCCTGAAATGTTTATGTACGACAGATATATTTTTCCAGAATTTAATTGCCCATAATTAAGGGTGCATATAACACAAAAATAAGTCTTGTGTACATTGATCAATCGGAAGGGGTGCCAATTGGGATTGTTCACTAGCAAATATATTAGCAAATATCGCCTTGGGCGCTTATTAGAGCGGGGCGCTTATTACATCAAATACGGTAAGTGTGACTAGAGTTACCTCCCCTACCTCCATACTGTAGCAGTATTGTCAGTGAACGGCCATTGTCTGAGAACACCAACCTTTAATTGTGGACAACAAGGCCCAGCCTATATCTACATTAAAAGATAATGAATTTCTTCTTTCTTTCTGATTTGTTCACTTAACAAAATGTCTATCAAGATACATAAACGGGTCATCTTCTATACTGTGATTGATATTGTATACATTCAAAACGAGCACAACAAAATACAACAGTATTCAAGTTTATGAGCTAATTTTGACAATCTTCAATTCATATCATTTACATAATACATACTGACAGTACTGTGACCAGGCACATCTTCCAGATGAACTAAGTTCTGAATTTACGAAATCAGAGTTACCGTGTATAATCCATTTGTATACAGCGCAACCCCATTATCAGGACACAGCATTCCTCTGGAATCATCTGGATTAAAAACAATTGGGATTAAAGAGCCATGGTTTTGAAATATTGTCATATTCATGGAAGACTTCGAGCAGTAATCGTCTGGTGGGGTGGGTTTCCAGATTAACAAGGTCAGCACTAACAAGTAATATATGGACTACCCCAAAAGTAATCACGCAGAAAGTGGGGTTTCTTGATAAATGCTGGGCTCATCATGATTAAAGAAATTCTGGATTAATGAATCAAGGTTATGGGATAATATTAGGTTTCCAGATTAACAGGGTTTGCACTAAACACTTATATATTTTAGTTACATATTATGGATTTGTATAGAACGTTTTCCAATATATTACTGCTCAAATGTGCTTAGACCAAGATAAATATATGGACAATCCCAAACGTAATCAGCCAGGTTAAGTTTCCAGATTAACAGTATCCTGACTAAGGAGGTTGCACAGTATTACTTTACCTGCGGTTTTCACAGTCCAGAAATAACCTTGTACTCATCCCCAACCCTGTAATTAACATATTCGGCCTGGCAGACAGTATTTACATACAGTGATAACAAAATAGCAACCATTGTCAATACTGTGAAAACTATGTACATGTATTATTGCAGTAGGCTATATAAAAGGCACATATTTGAACAAGACAGTGTGAGTGAATGCTGCAACTTATCGCTGAAGATCTAGGGTATCTTTCCATAGTGTTGCACTGAAACCATCATCATCATCATCATCATCATCAAAATATCATCATCAGAAGATCCAGGGTAGAATAGGTCTTCAGCAACCCATGCCTGTCATAAAAGGTGACTATGCTTGTCGTAAGAGGCGACTAACGGGTTGTCATCGATCCCAATTTTGTGGATTGATGCTCATGATGTCGACCACTGGATTGTCTGGTCCAGACTCGATTATTAACAGACTGCCGTCATATAGCTGGAAAATTGCTGAATGCGGCGTAAAACAACAAAACAAACCAAATCATCATCATCATCATCATCATTATCATCATCCAAACGATAGATCATAAAATACCCTAGATCACCAAGGATGAGTTCACCTGATCAAACGTGTGTAACACTGTGTATTTCAGTCAAGGTGAGGTATGTGTTCAATCATTCAGATAATACCCTCTTTTATATTAATCCCAAACCAATGGAAAACAACACATGTAACTGATTACAATTAATCTCCAGCTGACTAAGCAAGTGGGCCATTCCCTATTGTGAGTGTGTCAAGTTTCAGGTTGTGTAAACAGTACTCCAGCATCATCATACAATAGTAAACCAGAGAGGGGTCTAGCACTGAACCATGAAGGGAATTAAACCTGGAACGGTGAGAGAAAGTTTTAACCACTTGGCTACCCAACAATCCATATTCCAAGAATGTTTGACAGTCGTGCAGTTTTATGAATAGGGGCGGTAAGGGACCGGTCAGGGGATGATGGGTCATAGGTTAATGATGCGCTAACGTACTGAAAATAATTACCCTCCCCTAATGCCTGTCATAATTTTGGATGACCCTCCCCATGTCCCTGTTCTCATATTTTTTATAACCCTCCCTGAAAAGAATGCAAAAGTATTGTATATTTTATTAGAAAATGTCCCTTTCTTCCTGACCCTCCCTGAATATGTGTATTAGTTTTTGGAGCACCACTGTTCTGTTACTTTTCAATATGAATCCATAATTACAACCCTAAATGTAAATGTAACATTCTCCAGTGGTTTGTCCAATGAGACGTCAACCAAGCTCAATTTTCACAAAGCATTTTAATGCTACGTTTATTGCAACATAGACCTCAGTTGTCTTATGCAACAGGGCCCTGTTCCACAAAGCTTTGTACTTTTGTCAAAAAATGCCTTGTTTTTAATTTTGGGGGGAAATTTCACATATTTCTTTTAAATTTGGTATCGTTTGGTCACACATCATTCTTAACAAATATAATATACAACTCAAACGAAGAATACCAGATATTTTCATACAACAAATTACAGTCATATGAAAAAATCAGGTGTCCTTAAAGGGACAGGATGTCAACAGTTCTGAAGCTTTGTTTGTAAACAATAACCGATAACCCCCGAGCTTACTTAGTTAGCTCTGCTTGTTATTTTCCGTTTCTGCTCCAGTGATCACACCAGTGAGGGCTTTTAACGTGACCCAACTTTTACTTATTCTGACGGAACTTATTCTGAAACAAGAACAGACAGGCCTAATGCAAGCCTTTCGGTGCGCCATACATCGTATTTTGCATAATTATGCAGAAAAAATTCTACAACTGCGACAGTGAGGTGCATGACGTTATAGCTTTACACATCAAAGTGACCATATCGCTAGCTCTCCGTACGGCTTCGATGACAGCACGTGCAGAATAAATATGCAAATGGAAATTGTTTTTCACGTTTTAGGATCTTTTCTCAATGAAAGTTAAACATTTCATGACTTATGTTTATCTAAATGTGCAGACTCATCCAAAATGAAACAGATGAAAAACACAAGAACGGACTGTGTAAGATGTGACAGAGGTACCGGCTGTCCACAAGGGCCCTGGGTAGGAGAGTGACGTAGGAAAGAGTAATATTTATATTGCATTTGAGGCTTTGATAAACACTGGCTTCTAATCTAATCAAGTATTTAGTATTTTGGAACTCAGCCGTAAGAAAAACACACAAACTTTCTCTCCAATTTGCCTCTATTAAAAAACAACACTGAGGCCAGTTTACTCTGGGCAGTGCTTGCGTTGTCAGCTTCACTGTGTGGAGCTCTATTGTTTTGATTTGAGAACTGAATCGGGCATGTAACGTCACCCTCGAAATTTATTTCATGCATGATTTAAAAACACACAGAACTATCGACATACTGTCCCCTTAACTTCTTTTGAGTGGCGGTCAATAATGATTCTGTAAGGTGAAGAAATTGCTGTTCAATGGAGAAGCAGTCGTTTGTTTGAGAAGCCAGGCATCGTCTCATGTACTCACCTCATCCTCTTTTGATTAACTACATTTGTTCTTTGAAAGCTCGTGGGAACAATGCACGGACTGTAACCAAATCATTCAACCCTGAGAAGTAATGGTACTGCTACATGTGTCACACAGTGGAGATTATTTGAAGAGATTCATATTCAACCACTCAGCCTTGGTCACCACAGCCTATTGTGCATGTTGTGTCGAGATGCGATGCTCCTGTGGTTGGGGACGATGCCATGGACGGTCCAGCTGCTGTCCTTGTGTGTTGAGGGTGACGATGGTGTGTAGGCTGACCGGGCAGATGGGGGGTTATACAGCACTGGCACCTGGGTCCGGCCCCCGGGGTGGTGGCTACTGCTGTTCTGGGGGGGTGGATGGACTTGTGGGAGGCTGGAATGTGTAAAGCAGGGTTCAGAATTAACTATGTCCTAAAAGTCTGTGGATGAGTGAGTGAGAATGGTTTTACACCATTTTTAGCAATATTCCAGTAATATCATGGAGAGAGAATGGACCAAATATGGGCTTCTAGGTGAGGTGAGGTAAAATGGGGTTTAACATTGTTAAGCAACATGAATGCATGTGGGGGGGGGCTGCCTGTACTAGTCCAGACTGATGCTGATTCATAATGCTAGCCAACAGAGATACCATGCTGCAGTTTAACATGAATACCCCACTCAGACACAGTGACTCCAACCGACCTGTCCTTGTTGTAATGCCACTTAATGCTGAGCGCCAGACAGGGTAACAACAAGTACCATCTTTTAACGTTTTTTGATATGACACAGCCGGGGATCGAACCCCGGACCTTCCAATCCCCGGGATCTACCACTAGACCACAGAGATGATCCATATGGGCTTTGAACATCATACCAATGTCTGGAATACTGAGTTTAAATATGGACTAGTATTCTAAAAGAACAAATTTGGTGGAAAAATAGTCTTGTGGACATATGATCATTTTCCCTCAATGTATTTTGACGAAAAACAAGACTGATATAAATGAAGTTTTATCTGGAAAAGATGTTTTCCTGTGTACAAAGAGAGGCGACAGCAAGCAAAAGCCGAGACAAGTACATGTGATACGGCTGTTAGCTTACATCATTAAAGAACATTTTGATCTGATTGTATGTCTATTAACATTGTGACATGGGTAGTGAAGAGGTCCAGGGTATTATCTATATCATAACAATATGAAGACGGGAAGATTCAGACATACGTGGATGATGAGAGAGACTGCAGTTTGAGATGCCCCTGTCTGCCCTGGTAGTCATGATGGAGATTCATCATCTCAGCGTAACCCGGGGGGGCACCTGCTCGCTGCAACATCGGGGGACCTGGGTCTGATGGACCAGAGCAGAATGTTAAACAATATCAACCTGACAGAGATTAAAAGAGTACCGGTACACAAAGGTCAGCCTTGGCCCAATTCTATGAGTCTGCTAGCCCCGAACTTGACTCTTTAGATTTTATTGTTATATGGATCATTATTGACCTAGTGTAACCAGTGTAAGAATTAGCTTCCAAAGTTCACTGTTGCAAGCCTTCATCATATTTTACTAGCTCAAAACACTTCTGATAAACCACACACAAAAAACATATGACAATAAACTCTGACATTTAATGATGCCTTAACTGACTTGATGATTTGTAGAAATAAATATGCATTGACTACCATTTTTATATAGAAAGTCGGGCCAGCTTTGTTTCCTTAGACACGGGTGCTGTTGTACAAACCAATCTTAGCGCTAAGGTGATCGTAACTCCCATACCTTAACATAGATATACGACAGTCGTAGTGCAAAAATGATCGTAACTCCAATATCTTATTCTTAACATAGACTTACGACAGTCGTAGTGCTGAGGTGATCATAACTCATACCTTAACATAGACTTATGACAGTCATAGTGCTAAGGTGATCGCACTCCCATACCTTAACATAGACTTACGACAGTCGTAGTGCAAAGATGATCGTAACTCCCATATCTTATTCTTAACATAGACTTACGACAGTCGTAGTGCTGAGGTGATCATAACTCATACCTTAACATAGACTTACGACAGTCATAGTGCTAAGGTGATCGCACTCCCATACCTTAACATAGACTTACGACAGTCGTAGTGCTAAGGTGATCTCACCTCCCATACCTTAACATCGACTTACGACAGTCGTAGTGCTAAGGTGATCTCAACTCCCATATCTTAACATAGACTTACAACAGTGCTAAGGTTGTTTTGTACAACGGCATCCTAATCAAATTTTCTTGCCTGTCATAAGCTGAAATTACAAGACCAAAAAGAATTGGGGGTGAAGGATCGGTTATATGCAGAAGCTCACTGGTAACTTTGATACCAGTAACTATACCGTATGCTGCATGTACCTTGGACTCTGGACTCTAGCGCATGCAGTCTGTCTAGGCTGCTGTGTCTCTGGAGACGATTGTCAGGAGGGGCATCGTTGTGTCGGCTGTGCACGTTGATGCCTGCCCCCAGGCCGCGACTGCTGTTACTGCCCGCTGACAGACTTCGTATGTCCAGGTGCACAGGGCTACAAGACACATGTAAAAGTTGTCAAGGAGGATCTTGAATTGTTAAACATGTTTGAATTTTTTGTTTAATGTATCATTCCAATTCCTTTTAATCCTGTTGATGTAGCATCAGAAATTTGTATTTTTTCAGACTATAGTCCAGAGGACTTTTGGAAACCTAATTACACTGGTCCTCAGAGTTTGTACCTAGTCCTGCTTAAACAAGACAAAACTATTCACTTTGTCAGTATTATTCAGTTCCATTTCGTAGGCAAGGTAAAACATTGATAACCAGTTCAGAATATTGTCCCTCAAATGCTATGACGCTTTAAACAGTATTCTAGTTGTATCAAAGCTAGAAAAATAACCGGGGAATCTAGGAGCACAGGAATGGTCCTGAAAAAACAAAAAACGTAATCGGGGGAATCTAGGAGCACAGGAATGGTCCTGAAAAAACAAGAAACGTAATCGGGGGAATCTAGGAGCACAGGAAAGGTCCTGAAAAACCTAGAAACGTAATCGGGGGAATCTAGGAGCACGGGAAAGGTCCTGACAAACCTAGAAACGTAATCGGGGGAATCTAGGAGCACAGGAATGGTCCTGACAAACCTAGAACCGAATTGGGGGAATCTGGGAGCACAGGAATGGTCCTGACAAACCTAGAAACGTAATCGGGGCAATCTAAGAGCACAGGAATGGTCCTGACAAACCTAGAAACGTAATCGGGGGAATCTAGGAGCACAGGAATGGTCCTGACAAACCTAGAAACGTAATCGGGGGAATCTAGGAGCACAGGAAAGGTCCTGACAAACCTAGAAACGTAATCGGGGGAATCTAGGAGCACAGGAATGGTCCTGACAAACCTAGAAACGTAATTGGGGGAATCTGGGAGCACAGGAAAGGTCCTGACAAACCTAGAAACGTAATTGGGGGAATCCGGGAGCACAGGAATGGTTCTGACAAACCTAGAAACATAACTGGGGAATCTGGGAGCACAGGAATGGTTCTGACAAACCTAGAAACGTAATTGGGGGAATCTGGGAGCACAGGAAAGGTCCTGACAAACCTAGAAACGTAATTGGGGGAATCCGGGAGCACAGGAATGGTTCTGACAAACCTAGAAACATAACTGGGGAATCTGGGAGCACAGGAATGGTTCTGACAAACCTAGAAATGTAATCGGGGGAATCTAGCATCTGAACCCATGCACAATGAACAGTGTTCCTGTTGGGGTTTTTTAAACTGCCGGTCCTGGTGGACTGGCAACTCTAAAAATTACCAGTCCCCTCTAATTTTTTTAAGTCCCAACTTTCAACAAATAAATGCAATGACGTCATCTCTGAAGTAACTTAGTTAGATTTACTCGTCATTCACATAAAGTTCAGTCACAATTTTCTCATTTTTGGGGGGTATTTCAAGACTAAGTCAGGACAAATATATATTTAACCTCAAAGCAAAGCGAAATGTTATCTCCTTGCACAAAAATAGACAATAGGCAAACCCTGATGGTAACAGACAAGCTGACTTTGTTAGAAAAATATACTTATCCGAATATCACCAATTTTTTGTTCAACAACAAAGATGTATAAGGTACTTTATTTGCCGGTCCACATGGACTGGCCGTCACATGAAATACCGGTCCAAGCCTAATTCTACCAGTAAAAAACTGGTGATTACCAGTAAATGGGAACACTGAATGAGTTGTAGCACTTGGTTTGGTTGGTTGGTTGGTTTGTTGTTTAACGCTGCACTCAGCAATATTCCAGCTATATGACGGCGGTCTGTAAATAATCGAGTCTCGACCAGACAATCCAGTGATTAATATCATGAGCATCAATCCACGCAATTGGGATCGATGACATGCATCGACCAAGTCAGCGAGCCTGACCACCCGATCCAGTTAGTCGCCTTTTACGACAAGCAGAGTCACCTTTTACGGCAAGCATGGGTTGCTGAAGACCTATTCTACCCCGGAATCTTCACGGGTCTTGTAGCACTTAAACACCCGGGTAACTTGTGCACCTGTATCTCAACTGAACCTACTTGGGGCTCCTGTTACTGAGCATCCGGGTCTGTTTCGAGCCACTGTTTGGTCGGGGGTTCAAGTTTAGATCACTTATCTCAGGATTCTGAAAATGAAAGTTGGTACGGTTTCATGTGTCGGTTAGGCAGCATAAACAAAATTAAATGTTTCTCAGGCTCATTCTTCTCAAACGTGGGGAGGAGGTAGGATTTTTAATTCTTTTCATTGAAAACAAAAATGATGCCAGTGGAAAATTGAAATATTTTCTTCCCACCAAGAATACCAATAAACACAATTGAGGGACATTCAAATCGGATCTATATACAATATCAGTTGCCAAACATGTCGTTTTAAGGAAATAGCAGATTATGTTTCATATGACACGGAAATATGAAAAAAACCCATGTTGATTGGCAATAAATATGACTGGCGCTCAGGATTGAAGTGATGCATGTAATTGAATACTTGATGAAATGGACAGACAAACATGACATACTGGATTGTTTTGCTGACCAGCGTGGGGGTTGATGGATGGAGCGTTCTGGTATCTGTGTGAGGACTTGCCAGACGGTGGCCGCCCCCGTAGATGACCAGGTGGGGGTTTACTGTCCATTGTGTAGGCTCTACTGTACGTCCCACCATTCCTTTGATCCTCTGTTAAAAACATAATTTACACTTCTGTCAGTGTATCAAACAAAAATGAGTTTATCAGGAAGGAACTATTTAATATCCTACCCCAGTTTTCACAAAGTGATGAGAGTTTATAAAAAAGATTCATAGCATCTTATTTCACTCAAAGTAAATTATTACATTATACATTTATATGCAGGTATCCAGGTACTAGTATCTTCTCAAATGCGGTTTTATTTGTTCCCCGACCTGTGGATCCCTCTGCATTCAAGTTATCATTCTCAACTCCCTGGGGAGTATACAACCCAAGCTGCCTATTCTGGTACTGCTTCCCGTCTGACTCAATGATCCCTTGGTTTTCAGAGAAAGATCAGTAAAACATTCTTGTCAATAACATGTTTACATATTTATTTGATATTGTGACCTGAAAGAAGTTTTACTGCTCATGAAAATATGTCAGGTCACTCAAAGAGATAGACAGGCAATTTGACAAATCAAATATCCTTTATGTATTTGTAAAAGGTGCGTGTGTGTTTGTTGTTTAATGCTGCTCTCAGCAATATTCCTATAATATAAACAATCAAGTCGACAATCCAGTGATTGATATTGTGAGCAACAAACAACAACCTCTGGGTATGATGACCAAAGCATGTCCATCTGATCCACTAAGTCGCCTCTTAGGACCAGCAATTGTTGCAGGGGACCAATTCAAACACGGAATCCCAACAGGGTTTTCAAAATGGATTTAAAATTCAAGTTACCAGACGTTTTACTTCATGGTAGAACACATTTTGGGGGCTTCCTCCATTTTCTAACTACAGGTAGTAGTAGTAAATCAGTAATCATAATTGGTTTTTGTTGTTTTTTTCTTAAGCCTTTCAAAATATATTTCCCTTTTTACCTGGTTTTCTGTATACAGGAGGTCGACCATTTCTGGACCTGCCATGATCCACATCTGTAAAACAAAAAGGCTTTCATGACGGATTCACTGATATCGTTGCAGTTTCCGGAGGCAAAGGTGTTAACTACCTATAAAAATCCAGTTTCCACACTTGCCAAACTAGGCTGGAAATATATGGTTATAGTTTTGCTGGACTAACGAGTTTATGCATAGTCCATTCAAAATCATGTATTGTAATCATGTGGGAATGAACCTGCTGGTACAATAGGATTACCAATGGAATGGAGTATGACTGAACAGCAGCTTTTTAGGCTGCAGACAAGCCGGATATTTTGACACAGGGTCTGATTTGACCTGTCAATTTCAAGTTTTCACAGATTCAGCGCCAGCGTGTGAAAGAAAATTAATGTGATAGCGTTGGCCCAGCAACAATGGTTCATGCGTGATTTTCTTAATTTTGCGTGTTCTGAAATGAATTTCATCAAGTTTGATAAGTTGTTATGATCAAGTGTGCTTTGACTTCAGTGATGTCGGGACATTGTGTTCGCCTTTCAAAGGGAGGAGTGTTTTCTGATGGACTTTCAAATCCTCTCCTGACAAATCTTAACAGTGGTGGCTGACGGAGATGGCAATGAATATCAATCACAAAAAGGTTTGTAAACAATATGTTGTCATGAATAAAGTTTCTTCTAACAATTTTTATAATGTTACATTTTAATTTCATTGTCGGTTGCTTCAATGAGGAAATAGCCTGTTCCGATGCTGGTCGCCACATGTCCGCAACAGTTTCATAAACATTTCATTTGTATGCAAAAGATACGCCTTCGTTAAATCTTGTAATGTCAGCATCAAAGTAGTCAGGGTTGCGGCCTACAAAAAACATCTGATATCAAACTACAGTCTTTCCTCTAATAGACGCGAGGCCGTCTATTAATTTCACAACAGCCGTTGACTCGTCGTGTATTAGACACCAGCATGTAATAGAGGAAATATAGATACGTTTTACGGTTCACATATGGGAGTGATCGATCGATCGATCGGCAGACATTTTTTATGAATTGATATCTAGGCTATATATGATCGATGTATTCATACGAACATATTTTGTGTGAAAAGGCTTAATATTTTTTAAAAGGTTTTCCGTATCAAAAGGAAACCTCTTTTTAACCAATTAGAATCAAGCATTCATCAGTGTCATGGTAGAATGTTAAATACCTTAAGAAGAAATTAAACAGCCTACCTGTTCTATTTGAGAAGAATCCCTCAAAGACAACAAAGTTGTTGACCTGCGGTATAATCGCCCTCAAGTTGTAATGTTTGGCCAGAAACATGGAGAACTTGTGTGACGGCTTGTCAATGGCAAAATGATTGGGGCGAACATTTTCACACTGCAATAAAGTTAACAATACTCAGATAAATGTCAATAATTGTCACATCACAGTGTTCATGTTTACATGTTTACACTCAGCAATATTCCAGCTATATAATGGCGGTCTGTAAATAATCAAATCTGGACGAGACAATCCAGTGATTGACAACATGAACATTGATCCATGCAATTGGGATATGATGACATGCATCAACCAAGTCAGCGAGTGTGACCACCCAACCCCATTAGTTGCCTCTTACAACAAACAGTCGCCTTTTACGGCAAACATGGATTGCTGAAGACCTTTTCTACCCAAGATCTTCACGGATTTGAACAGTATGAAGTGTGTATTACTGAGTGATGTGGATCTCACCATCACATGAACCAGAGATAGAAGGATCACCATCCGTACACGTTATATCTGCAAATGGTATGCTGTTTATTACTTCTGTAACAATGTCAGTTGGATTTCAAGGGTCAGATTTGTGCTTGGCTCATATATCCAAGGTTGGCTAATACCCCACTTAAAACCATTACATCAATCCAATAATGACTGACTTACCCTGAGCATGTATTCGAAGAGCCGCTTGCCACACCCTCGCCTCTGTCTCGACTCATGGACGTAGAAGTCCAGTATGCACAATGGCGTCATCTCATGCTGCACCCCAAAGTTATCGTACACAAACAGTTTCTTGTGTCCCGTCTTCAGTAGTCCAACTATTGCCCCTCGGCCACTGCAACAAGACACATCAACTCTGTATAACCCATATGGTATTAAGTTGTAACACAATGTACTCCATAACACAATCCCTGTAACAATACAATCTGTCACACAATCCCCTGTAACACAATCTCCCGTAATACATTACAATAAACTCTGTAACACAACATACTCTGTAGCACAAGTATAACACAATATACTATGTAACACAATATAACATATATAACATGTAACATATACGCTCTTACACAAGTGTAACACAATATATTATGTAACACAATATACTGTGTAACATATACGCTCTTACACAAGTGTAACACAACATACTATGTAACACAATATACTGTGTAACACAATATACTCTGTAACACAATATACTCTGTAACACAATACAATCTGTAACACATCATACACTCTTACCATGCTTACACAAGTGTAACACAATATACTATGTAACACAATATACTGTTTAACACAATATACTGTGTAACACAATTTACTCTGTAACACATACGCTCTAAAACAAGTGTAACACAATATAATCTGTAACACAATATACCGTGTAACATATACGCTCTTACACAAGTGCAACACAATATACTATGTAACACAATATACTCTGTAACATAATATTCTGTAACACAATATACTCTGTAACAAAAGTGTAACACAACATACCCTATAACACAATGTACTCTATTACAAAAGTGTAACACAGTTTAGTTTTACCCCAGACACACTGACTCAGGGTAGCAAGTTAAGACAACAAAAATATTAAACTTGTGCATGAAGAGATCATGATGAACAGTATGCAGCAAGTACAGGACATGCCAAACTTTGACCAGATGTGTGGGGGGTTGTGGACGAGGCACTGGCCATACTAACCCATGATCAGCTTCTGACGTTGACTACTTAGTCACCAGGAAATAGACCTGGCCAGTTTAGACCTGGCTTTCACCTGACTCAAGACAGATGTTTTGTCTGAATAAAAAGTAGCGGACTTTCTGATGAACGTGTGTTGTTGCTGTTGCCTATGCCTTAGAGCTCAGAGATTATTAGCATGATTAACATTGTTCATGTTTTTTGTGATTGACAGCTACTTACTTGTTGGCTCCTGGATCTTTCATGAGATAGAGGATGTGATCAGACAGCTCCAGTTTACGCCCTCCTGTTATGGCTCCATACAGGCCTTGAGCCTAGAACAAGAAGAATGTGTTGTTTTTTTGTTACAGTCAGCACATCTTCCCAAGGCAAGGGAGATAACTGACTATAAAAGTCCAGCTTCCACCCTTGCCAATCTAGGCTGGAATTCCGGAGTTACATTTGGCTGGATTAACGAGTCAAAACTCACGTAACGAACTATACATCTGGTTCATAAACAACATGGATTTCAACATGCAGATTTTGGTCAACTGCAAGATTTGCAAAGCATGTGTACCATCAACTGGGCATCAACAGACCTTTTCATCTTTTTAATCAAGGTGCTCAGATGATTTGATGCATTTCAATGGGTAAGACCTGTTTGGTTACAAAATAGATCTTGATTATCGATCAGATCGTCTTGAATGAGCATCACTATTTTGTGTGAAGGAAATGCAAGTGTCATGAGATCTGGAATCTGATGGCGCTACGACTAAGCTTGGAAATTCTAGCCTAGTTCGGCAAGGGCGGAAACTGGACTTTTATCATGTTTATAGACAGTTAACTCCCCTGCCTCGGGTAGATGCAGTCAGCAACATTCCAGCAAGATCTTGCATAGATTTGATTTGAAAGATGACCCTGTGGATACAATACTGGGTACAGAAAATAAATTAACATAATCGTGGTCTCACAATCAGACAATGCATTGAGTCTTCGTTAAATCATTAAACCCACAGTAAACATGGTAAAAGACTAAGGAAAAAGTTCTTTCCAAAAGCAGAACAGTAGAATGTATTTTTAACCGTTTCCTAGGAAAACATTTGCCAAACTATTTTGCCCTTATAAGTATCAGGTCCAGAAAGACATGTATCTGTATATTTTCTATAACAGTGTTACCTTAGCTGAGGCCTCGCCCATGTTGTCGATGACATGGAGAAGCTGCTTTCTGTGTTCTCGGATTCTGTTAACATGAAAGGTAAAAATGGTCAGATCCTGTTATTGAACAATTTGTATTTTCTTTGTTAATTCTTACCTGTAAACCAATCATACAATTTGTATGTCTTTTGTTAATTGTTATTGATAAACAATCATACAAAGAGCAGACTCGTGAAGAAAGGGGTAACAATTGGTCTTGTGTAACACATGCTGGTCATAAAAGGAAACAAACAAACGAGATCGGTTGATCTGTCTCTCAGACTTAGTTGATGCATGTCATTGTATCCCATGGGTGTTTGTAAATATATTCGTAACCCCCCAAAAATTGTACCCCTAGAAATGAGTAATTTTGTATCCCAAATTGAAAGTAGTTTCATAACCCTATCCAATAAACAATGAATAATGCCACTTAAAATATTAATTCAGATTTAGATTTAAACAACTCATCATGTAAACATGGTAAAAGCGTATTGTATTTGAACAAGAACAACATATGGTGGTTATCTGCTGACCGAAGCTAATCTTTAAGAAAACAGTGTTTCAGTTGACAATTTCTTATGGGCTCCTTGATCCCAGTAGCAGTTAAGATGGAGACTGCACTAGACTATGCAATGATTTAGCATTGTTGGGATATTGGTTGTTGTTTTTCTGTGATCTGCTTGATTAAGTGTGGATGATAGTTATATGCATGTGTACCTTGTGAATGTTGTAGATGTAGCAGGGCGTGGAGTCATCCCACAGATGACATCCTTACCTTGTCAGCCTGCTGACGGGGTTAACCTCTTTGGTCATGTGGACAAGGCGTCCGACCTCTGATCAGAAGGTCCGTGGTTCGAATCCCATCACAGGACTCGGAAATTTTATGGCCGCTACATTGGCGCCCAACGTGGGACTGAGCACGTTCATATTAAATTTGAGCAAAATAAGGCTCAGTACCCTACTATGCAGCCCAGGACATGCCTTCTGTTGACGGGGGAGTATGTAGCAGGGCGTGGAGTCATCCCACAGATGACATCCTTACCTTGTCAGCCTGCTGATGGGGTTAACCTCTTTGGTCATGTGGACAAGCGTCCGACCTCGGTCAGAAGGTCTGTGGTTCGAATACCATCACGGGACTCGGAAATTTTATGGCCGCTACATAGAGAATGAATTGTTGACTTTATAAATATGAATGCAATGATTGCCTGGTGATAAATGTGTTCATGAAATCTCAACAGCATCTCTTTTGTCTTCTATCCCTATGCAATGAATTGGCTGCTCTACTTGGACATCACACAACTTGTTATGGCGAGAGAAATCATGATAAACATGGCCATCTGAAGAGTATGTTTGAAAACCAATAACCATAATATTGTCTAATACACAAATATTTAGAAATAAGAAACAGTGTTACAGAGTTTATTTATTTTTAGGGTTACAAACTGTTTTGGGGGACGAGATTTCTCAAGGGGTACGGGTTTGTTATGGTTACAAAATTACCGCAACCCGTATCTCATTTACGTGGCTCAGGGACATTTGAGATACAACACTGATACTGGCATGGTACTTTAATATTTTAAATGGTGTATTCGCATGATTAGAGCATATTAGTAGAACTATCTATCATTGCCCAGCTTATCCGACCTGTTGCTAGCACGGTTACTCTACATGACTACTGAGTAACAATAATGAATAATTAACACGCAATATCGTAAATAATGGTAATATCTATACATAAGCTTCTGACAGTTCTGTCAACCGTTACCTGGCATGACCCTAGGTGTTTCATGTGTGCACTTTCGTACTGTGTTGCGCGGATCAGTCACCTGACCAATTTGTTTAGAAATTTGATTTCTCGATCTCACCTGTCATTGTTGATTTGAGAACCCCGTGGAAGTACACGACTGTCAAGTCTGGTAATGACATCTTCAAGTAAAGCGTTTACGCTGAATTCATACTCCATGACTATGACAGTTCACTGAGATCCTCACCACTAATGATATTATGAAATGTGTTCCACACACTGAGCTAAACAAGTGCTTTCCGTCGCCATGTTTACTTCGCTATGCAAACATTATAGTCGCGCAGTGAATTTCAATATACCGTAAGATGTAGAATTTTCCTTTGCGATCGACTGTATCCGGCTCCCTTTTCACGTATTTCCGATCATATAAATAAGGTTGCACGTGCCTCCATTGTACCATCATAAATTTATTTTACAAATTTACTGCGAACCATACAAGATGTCAGCGCCCATACCTCAACTATTTCGCTTGTTGTGAAATACCTTGAGAAGGCATATTATGCCAAAAGGGAAGCAATCTGATCACGTTGGATCATTTTGTGCTAAACAGGAGATCTAAATATCTGAACAATGCCCAGAAAAGTAGCTTTCAGTGTTAAACAGAAGAAAAAACAATTGCAGGAACGACGACAGAGAAAACAAGGTTTGTTTATACAATATTCCATCATCTGTTAACAGCTAGTTAGTGGTTAGTGAAACGTAACTTGCATTGATTTTAAGGATGATAGTGTCGTTTTTCAAATACAGAACGTTATTGTAAATACTTTAAACATCGTATACTCATGGTAAACATATTTTCTTAACCAGTTAACCAGCTGTTAACATGTTAATGATCATTATTTTATCAACATAACCATGTCATTGACATTGGTCGTCGACATCATGCTAATCAACTCAGGTACTTATAACACGTGTATGTTGATGTTTCCTGTAATCTCACAAAAGACGCAAACAAATGGCAAAGTGAACATATTGTTATCTGTTTAATTAATGTTCATGGTTTTGATCTGTTGATACTCCATGGTTTTGTTTTTCATAGGTATTTAGCTGGATCTATTGAAAATCAGTTTCTTTATAATTCTTAATTAAGAAGATTTTTTAAAGTAAACAACATGAACAATGGTAAATAGAATAAGAACATATAGATCTATAAGATAATCATGATAATAGCCAATAGGTGCATGTACTGGCCATTCCTTTGGTGTGTGTGTTTTTCTCTGAAATATTTAAATCAGTTCAAAGTGTACATGATCATGCTTATGTACTGTTTTACTAACCATGCTAACTTTGGAGCCTCAGGTCAAGCAGACCACTTTGCAGCTGATGCTGCCGCTATGATCCTTTCTTAAAACAATGAAAATGAAAAATATGTCATTGTTCGGCATGTTTACCATTGTATAGCCATATTTTGATTTCAAATTTGTCTTTAAAATACATATATCAAAACTTTCAGCATATCATCATGATCATGCATATGTAACAATACCAACCATGCTGACATGACTATATAAAATGATAATTAAATGGTTTATTTATTCAGCGAGATCAAATGCAGACAATGACACCGACTCAGACAGTGGTGATGTGCAGGGGGAACGTGCAGTTGAAGGATCAGCTGGATCAGCCATTACAGTGAACAAGATCAACCAGCAGCCTTCAGATGTACCAGATAGAAGACTCGACCCCAACAGGTTAGTTAGTTGTTTCTTTTCTTTTTTTAAACTAATGCTATGCATACCTAATATATATTTTAAATAATATTACTACCTAATGAAAAATTACCAGCAGCTGCATCTGTAAAACAAGACAATAAACTGGTGAGGCCTAAAGTTAGATTACCGTATTCGACATAACAAGCGCCCAGGGCGCTCTCAAAATTAGAAATAGAGGGCTCTTATTAGAATATTATTTTGGTGAAAAAAACAGTGTTGAAAGATAAATTTCCTGGTTTATGCTGACAGGCTGAAATGTTTATGTACGACAGATATATTTTTCTAGAATTTAATTGCCCATAATTAAGGGTGCATATAACACACGAGTGCGTATTGTACGTGAATAAATAAGTCTTGTGAACATTGATCAATTGGAAGGGGTGCTAATTAGGATTGTTCACTAGCCAATATATTAGCAAATACCGCCGTGGGCGCTTATTAGAGCTGGGCGCTCATTACGTCGAATATGGTAAACATTTATCTGTATCAGTCTGTTTAGGTCAGTTCTTTGGTGATAGTGGGGGCCAAGATGGCAATGTTGTCTGAAGTGTCAAAATTATGGCACAGATTTCTGACCCTTAGACATGACAGGATCTGATGATTGTCTTTCAGTTCCCATATTTGCCCTTAGAAATGGTCTTCAGCAAACCATGCTTGTCGTAAGAGGCGACTGACAGGATCAGATTGTCAGGCTCTCTGACTTGGTTGATTGCATATCATCGTTTCCCAATTGTGTGAATCGGTGCTCGTGACATCAATCACTGGATTGTCTGGTCCAGACTCAATGATTTACAGACCATCATCATATAGCTGGAATATTGCTGAGTGCAGTGTTAAACAACAAACAAACAAACAACAAAATCTTGTCCTTACCCAAAGTGGTGGTTAACATCTAACACCTGCATCATGTTTCCACTTCGTGGATGAGCTGTGTTTTACCTGTTATTATCATTTATAAGACTATTTGCGTGACAAAGTTGCCAGAAACATGAAGAACAAGGAACCTGTGATACATCAATGTACATGGTTGGCAAATGTCATCAGGCCATGGGGGCAGTGGGGTAGCCTAGTGGGTAAAGAGTGTGCTCGTCATTCTGAAGATCCGGGCTCGATTCCCCACATGGGTACAATGTGTGAAATCAATTTCTGGTGTCTCCAGCCAAAATATGACTGGAAAAGTGCTGAAAGCGGCGTAAAACCATCCTCACCCACTCACTCGTTAGGTGGGGGGCACGGGTGGCCCAGTCGTCTGGGGCGCCGCGATTCGCTGTGCATAGTTGCGTCCCTTGGGCACACCAGAAACCTATGATTGTGGGTTCGAATTCCGGTTCGCCCAAATTATGTTTCTAGGTTTGTCAGCACCATACCCGTGCTTGTGGGTTTCACCGAAGTGGTAAACGTCTGAGACCAGCATCACTTCGGGCTTTCCTCCCACATTAAGCTGACACGCCATGATACAACTGGAATACAGTTAAAAGCAGCGTTAAACCCAACCCGGTAGTCCTGTGGGTTCCCGGGTCCTACTCGGGACCCACCTGACCCGAATCCCCTAGTTACCCACCCCAGCCCTACCTTCCAAGCACCTGCCTCACATCAGTTTATTGTCCATAAGTTCCGGGAGTTGAAGGACCATGTGCTGCCTTCTCTACTTTACACCAGCCCTGGGGCGGTCGGGTAGCCTAGCGGTTAAAGCGTTCGCTCGTCACGCCGAAGACCCGGGTTCGATTCCCGACATGGGTACAATGTGTGAAGCTCATTTCTGGTGTCCCCTGCCGTGATATTGCTGGAATATTGCGAAAAGCGGCGTAAAACCGTACTCACTCACTTACACCAGCCCTAGAAGGAGCATATGCATCCATTGTCTTAGTTTTATGATGTATGGTATCCAAAGTGTCAAAGAGTGTTTCCTCACAGATGTCAATTTGTTTCTCATGGTGTGTTTCTGTACCTCTGGTTTGGTGAGGATTTAAAGTAAGATTTCCATGTTGCAATTGTAACGGCCATAAAATTTCCGAGTCCCGTGATTGGATTCGAACCACGGACCTTCTGATCACAGGTCGGACGCCTTGTCCACATGACCAAAGAGGTTAACCCCGTCAGCAAGCTGACAAGGTAAGGATGTCATCTGTGGGATGACTCCACGCCCTGCTACATACTCCCCCGTCAACAGAAGGCACGTCCCGGGCCGCATAGTAGGGTACTGAGGCTTATTTTGCTCAAATTTAATATGAACGGGCTCAAGGTAAGGATGTCATCTGTGGGATGACTCCACGCCCTGCTACATACTCCCCCGTCAACAGAAGGCACGTCCCGGGCCGCATAGTAGGGTACTGAGGCTTATTTTGCTCAAATTTAATATGAACGTGCTCAAGGTAAGGATGTCATCTGTGGGATGACTCCACGCCCTGCTACACAATCTTAAATTTTGATATGACCAGCACTTATTAGCATCTTGCATTAATAATTATCATGATTATCAATTTTTCAACTCAAATTCCAGATTCCGCTTACATTTCTTCAAAATGAGTGACAAGGAACTTGAGAAGAAGAGAGAGGAATGTCTGAGGTTTTTAACGTCACTACCAGAGGTACCGGCTTTGAAATGAAAAAAACATGAAATGAAATATATTAAATACTTGGGGGGCATGAAAAGCCAAATGGCTACTTCTCTTCCTCTGTTAGCCTACTTGAAGTTTTTTTCACAACTGAAATAATGTTTTCAAAATTAATATTTTATTCCACAATTTTGACAGGTCCGTTAAGTATTATAAGCCAAGTGATAAATTGAGGAAAGGTGATATTGGGTTAAACGTCGCGTTCAATATGATTGCCCTTATATATATAGTGATGTAAGTGTGAGTGAAAATGGTGAAAGTTGCTGCTTGTACTAAAGTACTCATGGAAATGAAAAAAACCTGTTTTGCTGGATTTAATAATCGACACAAAGTATTACGTAGATGTAAATACGAAATGACAAAACAACTGGAAAAGTACTTGTCTGGATTTGCTAGTTTTATCTCAGTGCTCAATACAAAATGTACTTTACAGGAGGTAATTTGTAGGCACTTTCAACATTCAAAAATAAAACTAAGTCCAAATTGACATGGCAGAAACAGGCTATAGGCATTACGCAAATTAGCCTGGAAAAAAGTTATCAAAACAACAATAAAAATAACAGCTATGTTTATGTACATAATAATAATGACATGTAAGTTGTTGTTTGAGAAGGGAATATGTTACTTTTACGTTCTGATATTTTGACGATGATTCACTATCCCACAATGCCACTCACAAATCACTAACCACTGACAAATTACATGCACGTGGGTTTCAAGCACCTGTTTTCACCTGTCGTCAAGGTGTCAGAGGTCATGGACATTCACCTTGATCTACTAACACCTGGTTATGCTCAGTTTCACAATAGTATGTTTTGTTCATATTTTTACACACTTTTACGTGTAAAAAGACATAAAAACCTTTGATACGCTGTATTTGTGCCAAGGCCCAATTAGTACTAATTGAGTTGTTTGAATATTTATATATTTTGTATATTAACTGCATTTATTTAAAATCTGAGATCGAAAAAACAGGTTTTTTTCATTTCCGTGAGTACTTTAGTCCGTTTCATAGTGGAAGCCGACTGTGGTAACATGCTGCAGGGCGGTCGGGTAGCCTAGTGGTTAAAGTGTTTGCTTGTCGTGCCGAAGACCCGGGTTCGATTCCCCACATGGTACATGTGTCGAGTGAAATATCATGTTTACAATTTATAACGAAACATGTTCCAGAATACAAACAGGAGGAAGTGATATTAACTCCATAAATGACCATCTGTCATTATTTTGCAATGAGCTAACGTAAAAAGGACGTGAACAGTTTGTGTACGGGCTTGACACATACAATAAAGGGAGACAATTTAAGGGGAGGTAACTCTTGTACGACAACAGTTCCGTCAGAATGTAATGTTTACTGCAGTGAAATATCAAGTGTTGTATGGGGGCATCGGTTTCTCCGAAGTGGTAAACGTCTGAGACCTGCATCACTTCAGGCTTTCCTCCCAAGTTAAGCTGACTGGAATACTGTTAAAAGCAGCATTAAACCCAACTCAGTCACTCACTCACTCACTCAAGTGTTATGTTCACTGCAGTGAAATATCAAGTGTTATGTTCATGCAATGAAAACATCACTTTTTCCAACTTTTCTCAACTTTCTCAAAATAACAAAATGTGTGAAGCCCATTTCTGGTGTTATCTGCAATGATATTGCTGGAGTATTGCTAAAAGCGGTGTAAAACTATACTCACTCACTCCCCATGCTGCAATTTAACATGGATAAGTGCAATAATATTGAACACGACACTAAACCCCATTTCACCCACTGTGACATTCACTCACTTTGATGACAGAATGCCCTAGAGACAGACATAGATGACATCTACAAGCCAGGAACTGTCCTGGACCTGCCAAAGAGACCGGCCTGGACCAGCGCTACATCTAAACAGGTTCTGGAACAGAGAGAAGATGAATATTTCCAGGTAAGCACACCAAGTTTCAAATGACCTGCTTTTTCCCCAAACCTTATCATATTTGCTATGTTATCAGTGTTTAACATCCACCATGAAAGTCATGGAGTTCTCTAATAGTAAAAGTTTAATATTTGGGGGGCCCTAGATTCTTATACTATGTGAGAAATCCTCAAGACACATCCTCCCAAGGCAAGGGAGTTAACTGACTACAAAAGTCCAGTTTCCATCCTTGCCGAACAAGGTTTGAATTTCCAGGCTCAATTGTATGTAGCATCTCCAGTGGCTATAATAGTCCCTCTGATTGACCAATACGATTTCATCGCTCATATTGCTTTGTATTGGCTTCAGACAAAATGGCGGCTTCCGTCAATACAATCTGAATGATAATCAAGATCTATTTTGTAATAAATACGGGTCTTAACCCACAAACTGCATCAAATCGTTGAGTAGCTTGATTAAAAACATGAAAAGATTTGCAAAATATCTGTCGACGCCAAGTTTGCAGTACACATGCTTTGCAAAGCCTGCAGTCGACCGAAATCTACACTTTGAAATGCGTGTTGTTTACGAACCGTATGTCTAGTTCGTTGCACAATTTTGATTTGACTGTGCACAGACTCATTAGTTCAGTCAAAATATAACTCCAGAATTCCAATCCAGTTTGGCAAGGGTGGAAACTGGACTTTTATGGTCAGTTCCTTGCCTTGGGAAGATGCCACAACCTTCTTATTTTTAAACACTGGTTATATTTGATGCATCATAAAGTGTCGGGCAAAAGAAAGCATACACTCATGTTTAATGGGGGCTAAAATGAGTCAAATAAGACTGTTATTTGATGCTGATGTAATTGATACAGGTGTCATAGTTTTGGATCTTAAGTTTGCATTGTTTCGGCAACTGTTTTCAGCCTGGTAACGTTTTAACAACATTTGTCATTTTTTGTCAAATCAAAATGTATACTATCTCTTGCCCAGCAATTTATCCATATCAGTTTTACTTAAAAATCCAAGGGACTTTAAACAAGTGTATTAAAAAAGCTGTATGAACAGTGAATCAACAGAATATTCATGATATACGATGATAATCGAATAACATGCAGTGGTTTCCCAACGTTTCAGCGTTACCTTGACAACATATTTGCTGTGTATGGCCCCAGGGAGCTGAGCTACTTCGAGATGAACCTTGAGACCTGGCGGCAGCTGTGGCGCGTCACAGAGATGTCGGACATCATGCTGCTTGTCACGGACATCAGGCACCCAGTATGTGATTCTCAGAATTTGTTTGTCTGTTTGTTTGTCACGGACATCAGACACCCAGTATGTGATTCTCAGAATTTGTTTGTTTGTTTGTTGGCTTGTTTGTTTGTTTGTTTGTTTATTGTTAAATGCCACACTCAACAATCTTCCCACTATATGTCGGCAGTCTGTAATTATGAAGTCCAGACCACACACTCCAGTGATTGATATTGTGAACACCGATCTACAGCATTGGACTGCGATGACACGCAATCAACCAAGTCACCAAGTCCGACCAACCAATCTATTTGGAGGCCTCTTACGACCAGCAAACGTTGCTAGGGACCAATTCTAACCCGGAATCTCCACATAATAGTCTTAAAATAAAATAAATACAACCATGCTTTGAATGGCTATGAGCTGTGATGGATCTTTTATAATTCATTTGGGGCGGTCGGGTAGCCTAGTGGTTAAAGCGTTCGCTCGTCACGCTGAAGACCCCGGGTTCAATTCCCGACATGGGTACAATGTGTCAAGCCCATTTCTGGTGTCCGCCGTGATATTGCTGGAATATTGCTAAAAGCGGCGTAAAACCGTACTCACTCACTCATTATAATTAATTCTATTATATTTTATAATTGTGATTATTTAAATATACTCTCATTCTTATCATGTCTAATACGCCTCCTTTGTCTTCTTGGGCATGGAGGGCCTAGTCATCTAAGGTGCAGCTATTCCCTGTGCTGAGTTACCTCCCTTGGACATGCCAGAAACCTATGATCGTGGTTTGAATCCCTGTTTGCTAAGAGAGAGTTTGTGTCTACTTTTGTCAGCACCATGCCCATGCTTGTGGGTTTCAGCAAAGTAGTAAATGTCTGAGACCTGCATCACTTCGGACCTACCTTCCACATCAATTTGACATGTTTTTAGCAATATTCCAGCAATATCACGGTGGCGGACACCAGAAATGGACTTCACACATTGTACCCATGTCGGGAATCGAACCCGGGTCTTCGGCATGATGAGCGAATGCTTTAACCACTAGGCTACCCAACCGTCCCTGAAATATGGTAAAAAACGGTGTTAATCCTAGCTCCCTCACTCACCCTCCCTACCTCCCTCTCTCACTCCTTTGTCCATGAGGCTTGTATCATGTACATTGGGTTAAATACGGTACTGATTCCAGGCCCTGCACTTCTCACCAGCTCTCTACGATCATGTGACACAGGACCTCAACAAGCCCATGATCCTGGTCCTCAACAAGGTGGACCTTGCTCCACTCGGCCTCCCTACCTCCCTCTCTCACTCACTCCTTTGTCCACGAAGCTTATAATCATGTATTTTGGGTTAAATACGGTACTGTTTCCAGGCCCTGCACTTCTCACCAGCTCTCTACGATCATGTGACACGGGACCTCAACAAGCCCATGATCCTGGTCCTCAACAAGGTGGACCTTGCTCCACTCGGCCTGGTCGTGGCCTGGAAGGACTACTTTCACAAACACTTCCCCAAGTTACGCATCGTCTTCTTCACATCCTACGCCGAGGCATCAAGCCACCAAGGAAGCTTGCAGCATAGTAAATGTAAGAGAAAGTGGTTGGTTTTTGTTCTAAAGTACTGTCTGAATGCTTGAAAAATACCTCTTGCCCGTTAAAACAAGGTAGAATGTTTCACAGACTGTTGCTATTGAAATATCGACTACCTGCCGTTCTACCTACCTTGAGGTATTTCAGTGACAGGAGTCCTATCAACAGTTTTACAGGAGAAAAATTTTAACGAATCCACAAGTTCAGATTTATTCTAAGTCCAATTAGGGAACTCTCAAATGGACTATAGAAATATACTCATCCGTGAATGCGAATGCACCGGCCGGTGTGAGGTCATCACCTCGGGACAGGTGGGGCTTTCCAATTTTATATCATGAAGGACTGTACATCTTTAATTCCAACATGTCCAAGTTGCGTGTAGGATATTCTAAGTTTTGTTCATTGTCTTTTTGCAAGATTAGATAGTGAAGGTGTTGATGAAGGCATCTTCAATTATTTGAGTCAGTGAATATTCTGAATTATCAGCAGTGAGCAAATGATATATTGACAGTGATTAATACTGAACATAATGTCACCTAAATCCTTCCCCTATGGACATGACAGGTAATAATTACAAAGACACCAAATATGACATTTCTCAGTGACTCTGATATGATTTAACATGTTTAATAATTCTGGTTGATTTGTTTTTTATTCCTTGACTCAGCAATATTACAATTATGTGACGACAGTCTGTAAATAATCAAGTCTGGAACCAGGGGTCCGGAAAATTTAAAATCCCAATCGGACATTTGCATTTCGGGCCACGCCCCCTTCAAATAGCGTATTTTAGTACAACTTTTCACACACATTACAAGTTGTTTATTATAATATGTATATTTATAATATGATGAATTATGAATTGTTTAATTCACCGGACAATTAACAGACATCAAGTAATTGATATCATGAGCATCAATCCACACATTAGGGATTAGACCAATCCTAACCCTGATCTTCACGGAGGTCTAACCAGGATCTTCACAGGGGTCTGTCTGGTCTTCATGAGGGTCTACACCCGCTTTTCATGGGGGTAATGATTCTGGTATTCTTTGTCTTGCAGGTTTGAACAAGGGCCACAAAACAGGAAGACGAATTAAATCAGTTGGTTCCAGAGAACTTCTAGAGGCTTGCGAGAATCTTGTTGAAGGGAAAGGTATGTAGTTAATCAAGCTCCCTCTATTCTGCTCCTTATCTTACGGGGGTGGTCAGGCAGCCTATTGGTTAAAGCGTTCGCTTGTCACGCCGAAGACCTGGGTTCAATTCCCAACATTGGTACAATGTGTGAAGCCCATTTCTGGTGTCCCCCGCTGTGATATTGCTGGAATATTGCTAAAAGTGGCGTAAAACCAAACTCACTCACTCACTCCTTATCTTACACTTCCAACCCTGCAACAAGCAAATGATGACATATTCTTTTTTCTCATGTCCGGTTATTTATAATAGTCTTGGTTCTCAGGCAACGGCTGCAACATTATTAAGTTTGCCGCATGTTTAGTTTTTATATCCCTTTTGAAAAAAACAAAAAATCCTTAAATGTTCCAGGTCCAACGGTTGTGAAATACTGTATTCCAGTATTTCACTCATCAAGGAATACATTTATGTAGGGAGGCCCTTTCCCAGGTTGAATGTACATGACTGTTTATTTGGTTACATACCAGTTTAAACAACCAGCAACAACAACAACAACAACAACAACAACAAAAAAAGAATAAGAGACACCACCCAGCCACACTATATTTTCAAAACTTTAATTTTCTTAAGCCTTAGTTTGACTTTCAAAATGTTCAGTTCAACACTTCTTTGTAGATGGCCAAAGAAAAATGATACAATTATTTTTTGTTCTATAGCAGTTGACTTAAGCAGTTGGAGGTCAAAGGTTGAATGTCAGGAGGTTGGCAAGGATGAAGATGCAGATGTTGACACAAGTGAGGCGCCAACATCAGCTGCAGAAACATTGACAGATGACAGCGGCCATGTGAGATACAGAGATGGGGTGTTGACGATAGGCTGTGTTGGTGAGTTAAAGGGATATTCCACTCTGAAACTAAACCTTGATCATGTATTCTTAAGTGATAACACATCATACGTTTTTGATAAAGTCTCATTTAAGGTTTGAGGTGTGGTGAAATAGGGTTTAACATCGCATCAAAGATTATTGCAAGTGTGTGTGTGTATGTGTGGTGTGTGGTGTGTGTGTGTGTGTGTGTGTGTGTGTGTGTGTGTGTGTGTGTTCTACTAGTCCGGGCTAATGCTCATTTTATAGTGCTAGCCCACAGATACCATGCTACAGTTTAACATGAATACCCCACACAGACACAGTATACTGACTCCGAGCTGACCAGTCCTTGTTTTAGCCCAAGTGCCAGACTGGGTAACATCAAGTACCATCTTTTAAGGTCTTTTAGTATGACGCGGCCGGGGATCAAACCCCGGACCCTCCACTCTCCGGGCAGATGCTCTACCACTAGACCACAGAGGCAATCTCTATTTTAAGACAAATAAGTCAATATATATGACAATCTACCATGACGTCACAATCTCTCTGCCACTGATTCTTGTTAGCCCTGCTTTCTGCACTCAAGGCAATGGTTAGGACTCGTTACAAGGGTCCACGAGTGGCCCAGTCATCTAACAGGCTGCACTTTGCTGTGCAGAGTTGTGTCCCTTGGGCATGCCAGAAACCCAAGATTGTCGGTACGAATCCCCCATAGAGAAACCATCACCCAAATTATGTTCCTTGGTTTGTCAGCACCATACCCGTGTGTGTGGGCTTCACCGAAGTGGTAAACATCTGAAACCTGCATCACTTGGGGATATAACAGGAATACTATAAAAGGCGGCGTTAAACCAAACCCACATACTCACTACTGTTTACAAACTGGAAAAGTTAGTAGCATGAGTTTGGACGATAAATAGAATCTCACCCTCGTGTCTTTTGAACACCCACCGATAAAAGTTTCAAATGCTGAGGCTTGCCAATATTAACAGACACTTGGGTTAGATTCTCTGTTCACATGATTTAGGGGCCCTTGTTTAGCACACTCATCAATGAAACATGACCGCTCCCTCCCATTCATTGCCTTGTGATGGAAGTTGATGTTGCATTTGTCAAAACGTTTCAGTAACTAAGTTGTGCTTTTACAGATTTTGTTCCCCGTATCACGTTTTTTTATTATGACTTTGTTTATGTCTGTTCCTAGGATATCCCAATGTTGGCAAGTCATCTCTCATTAATGGCTTAGTTGGTAAAAAGGTAAATATTTTTTCTGTACCTTTTCGAACTGATTGTTAAGGATGTATTGCAGTTATTGTAGTTATTGATTCCATTTTTTTCACGCACATCTTCATTTAATTTTCTTTAACAGTGGACATAGGAGTGTTTGAAAGGTGGCAAAAATTTGAGGTTTTACATTCAAAGTAAAACCTCCCGAACGAAAATAAAACCTCATAATAGGTTTTACTTTGAAAGTAAAACCTCTTAATAGGTTTTACTTTGAAAGTAAAACCTCACAATAGGTTTTAATGCCTATAGAAAGAACTCTCTTACTTAATAGAGATCCCAATGAATAGGTTTATAAATACATCTAAAACCTAATTCATTTTATTGAAATCTTAAGTTGTCTGGAGCTCTGGTGATGTAGCCATGGTAACATAGCAATCTGTGTTGCAGGTTGTGAGTGTGTCGAAGACGCCAGGTCACACGAAGCATTTCCAGACTATTTTCCTCACACCAACTGTCAAACTGTGTGACTGCCCAGGACTTGTCTTCCCGTCTCTCATAGAGAAACCATTGCAGGTAAATACATGAACATATTCCAGTTTAATCGATGCCGTTTAAACGTTTTTCATCAGTATTCAGTGCTGTCAATGCACTCAGGGACACAGACACCTTGACACAGAACTCAGTGATCACTAATATATCATCAACCTTTCTGAAGCTTTGTTTGTAAACAATGGCCAATAACTCCCAATTTACGGCTCTGCTCTTCTTATTCCATGAGAGAATTTTCTGCTACAGTGACCTCACCGCAGGTGTGGGCTTAACACGTGACTGGACTTTTCTCTTGTTTGTAACACACTTATTCTGAAATAAGAACGAAGGTTCTAATGCAAGCTTTTCGGTGTGTTTTAAATATTGTTTTGCGTAAGTATACATGTATGGACATACTACTACAACTGTGACAGTGAGGTGCATGACAGTATAGCTTTACACATCAAAGTGGAGCAGAAGTGAACTATCACGTGTTTCATAATTTGACGGGTAACATTAGAATAGTTGAACACATGATGATATGATGTCATGTTGCTATGGGACTGTTTGCAAACAATGTAAACAATGGGAAAAACTAGCCAATCAAAAAATACCTTGCCTAGATGATAACTTCAATATCGGACTATTCACCACAGGTTCTGGCTGGTATATTCCCTATGGCTCATGTTAGAGACCCATACTCCTGTATCACATACCTTGCCTAGATGATAACTCCAGTATCTGACTATTCACCTCAGGTTCTGGCTGGTATATTCCCTATGGCTCATGTTAGAGACCCATACTCCTGTATCACATGCCTAGTCTAGATGATAACTTCAATATCTGACTATTCACCACAGGTTCTGTCTGGTATATTCCCTGTGGCTCATGTTAGAGACCCGTACTCCTGTATCGCATACCTGGCTTCTAGGATCAACCTAACTCTCATCCTCAAGCTCACTCATCCTAAAGCAGATCGGCTGAACGGCAAAGATCTAAAATGGACAGCATATGACATATGCAATGGTGAGATTATTCAGATTAATATATCTCAAAATCCTGGCTATTAACATAATATTCCAGAGGGGACTTAAATACTTACATTGTTTATCTAGGATGTTTGAGTTAGGCATTAGCTGAAGTTATCTGAAGATATCATGACATTTTCCCAAGGCAAGGGAGTCAACTGACCATAAAAGTCCAGTTTCCACTCTTGCAGAACTAGGCTGGAATTTCTGTGCTTGATTGTAGTGCCACCAGTGGCTTTTACGAGTTATGTCCCTTCTATGACCCTCGTATTGACCAATCAGATTCCACCTCTCATATCACTTGCATTTGCTTCAAACATTATGGAGGCGCCCAGTCAATACAATGTGTTCCATAATCAAAATCTGTTTTATAATTGAAAGGGCCTTACTTCGGGTTCATCAAATCACATGAGCAAAAAACGTATTTGGTAAGAGCTGGTGGTACACATGCTTTACAAATCCTGCAATTGATTGAAATCAGCACATCAGGTTACAAACCAGATGTTAATTTCCTTCCACAAGTTTGATTGAACTATGCATAGACTCGTTAGTCCAGCCAAAACATAACTCCATAATTCCAGCCTAGTTCGTCAAGGGTGGAAACTGGAGTTTTAAAGTCAGTTATCTCCCTTGCCTCAGGAAGATGATATCTTGAAGACTTGTAAACTTTGTTCTCTCGTCAGTTAATGAAAAAAAATACAATCATGATTGAGGGTCGCAATGTGTCACCTTGGTGATTGTGTCATCATGCCCCATCAGTGTTGATTGATGCTACTAAAGCAGCCACAGGTTTCCTTGGTCCAGACTTGATAAATTACGGGTCACCATGCATGACACATAGGAGCAATGTTTCCGCTGTGTATTCGTGCATGACACTTCTGGAACATTGTTGACAAACAACCTTGACATTTAATAATAATCATTATACTATGATGGACTTTCTCTATGTCTTTGCTGTCTGGGGGCACGGATGGCCCAGCTGTCTAAGGCGCCGCAATTCGCTGTGCAGAAACCTATGATTGTGGGTTCGAATCCCGGTTCGCCCCAATTATGTTTCTAGGTTTGTCAGCACCATACCCATGCTCGTGGGTTTCACCGAAGTGGTAAACGTCAGAGACCTGCATCACTTTCCTCCCACGTTAAGCTGACACACCGCAATATAACTGGAATACTGTTAAAAGCGGAGTTAAACCCAACTCACTCACTCACACGCTCACTCTTTGCTGTGTACAGAGTGGGCTGTGAAGTGTGGCTACAACACTGCCCGCGGGGCACGTCCCGACATCTACAGAGCGGCCAATCACATTCTCAGGATGACGGTGGAGGGGCGACTCCGACTTAACTTCACCCCGCCAGGATACACAGAGAGTAAAGGTACGTCAACATCCAACATGCCTGCTGGGAGAGATTTGGTGTTAACACGTTACATGGTTAAGGATCCCTTTCTCAATTATTACATATTACATACGAAAAAACAATCCCAATACAGTGGAACCCAATTTATCCGGACTGTGATGTTTCTATGAAATTATTTTTCATGTAGCCTGCTCATGTAGCCTGTACCCTGCTGATAAATCAATCAGAAAACGACTTACATAACTTACTTCTCTCGCATAAGTATCGTTGAGCTGAAATGAACTGATGTTTATCCGAAGGCAGTGGGTAAAGGGAAGTAACTTGCTTTTGTTTGCGTTTTGCTAACTGTCAAAATGGCTAAATTATAGCGTTTTACTTTGTGAAATATGTTCTGGGTCTTTATGAGGTCAGTGAGATAAATTCATTGTCAACCGATCCCTTGGGGCCTATGGTGTGATGAACCCTGTATGTGCCAGTGGCGGTTGGGTGGCTTAGTGGATCAAGCGTTCGCTCGTCACGCCAAAGATCCGGGTTCGATTCACGACATGGGTACAATGTACATTACTGGTGTCCCCCACCGTGATGTTGCTGAAATATTGCTAAAAGCAGCGTAAAACCATACTCACTCACTCACTATGTGTGCCTGACGGCTCGGGGTACGTAGGCTCACACACAGGGTACATCACGCCATAAACCTCTCAACTTATATTGTACAGAGTCCCAGTTGAAGTTCAACCAATTATTAAGCACCATTAGACTTACATGCATTGGAACAATAAATAAATAGTGAAGATAAACTATTTAAACATGAATGAGCCACAGTTCTTGAGATATGGAATAAAAAAATGGGAGTATACTATTGAGTCGTGGATCTATGACGTCACATGTGAGGCGTTCATAAGTGTCAGTTCACACAACATACCAGTGTGCTTGTTTGTGCTTCGAACCAATCTAACATCTCTTGAACATAAGTTTTTCTTCATATTTTAACCAACATGTATGGTATTCAAGTTTTGTTTGGTCAGTGAGTATATATTTAATAATAGAAGTATAATTATTTATTCTACCATGAATTTGGAATTTACTCGATTCTGATTGGTCAATCAGAGGCTATTAAATCACAATAAATCCCCTCTGATTGAAACAGCTGGTTTGACGTCCGCATCACCACGGAAGCTAATATTCATAGAATAGTACTATTTTCAGTCATTGTCGGTAGGCATATTTAAATAATTATATCTACAATTACAGGTTACAAAACGCACAGATGCGGTTACTACACTATTCAAAGAATGTGTGGCAATACATTTCATGCAGAAAACACAATAGTAATCTACAAAGGGAATGTATTTACGTTTTGGAGACAACAGAGAGCTTGGAATTTTGGCGCTTTTCTATATACGACTGTGACGTCATATCTTTTGCATCACAATGAGCGATATGACGTCATAATGGTGACGCGCGATGTAGAGCAAAAGCCTTGCAAAGCTTGCTTTGTTTTCTTTAGGGATGCCCTCCTCATGTTTCAATGCCTGTCATATGTTCGAGTGAAGTTTTACGGTGTAAACAAACTGCTTGAGTATATACAGCATCATATTTCGTTCGGTGAATCCGTAATTCAGATCGATAACCCACTCAAAACACTGGACTCAACCCATGCCGCTTCACTCAGTATATTTGCTAACACCAAAGTGTTCACGTTTTATTTAATCATGGTAGAATAGAGATAAACATACTGTGTTTTCAATGTAGGGCAGTGCCTGAGAACCAAGACTATTTTTTTAGCCTCATACACGGCAAGATGGTTGGTAGTGTGGCAAGTGGGGTTGAAGTGAAATCTTATGATTATATGGCCTGATGTTAAAACCAACTTACTTTCAGAGGCTTGGCGGGATCACCCAGAAGTGATAGTGTTACTGAGAAAGGGTCAGTCCGTCATACGAGGATATCGGAGAGAAGTGGACACCTTGTTATCTAGTGACACTGATGAAGAGGAAGTGATGTCATCAGCTGCATCAGCCAATCAGAGGCCAGAAGAGGCGGAGACTTTAGATGTTAGTAACCCCTTCTCTACGCTGTCTGGAGACTGAGGTTGTGAGGAAACTTAGGGAAAGTCGGCAGTTTTTATCTGTGTACTCCGATTTAAACAATCTGTGATAAAACTAGTGTGGTTGTTGGTTTAAGGCAGCATTTCAGCAACACAGGATCAGCATTGGTTATCTGCTGGTGGTCCACTCTATTCATTTAAAAAAATAGTTTACTATTTAAATAGCTGGTATGTAAGTGCCTGGGTTTGTTTGCATCAACCAGTGAACATTTATCATCCCCGTCATGAAGACGATATAGTGATGGGTGTTCTCCATCCATTCCTCCTCCCACCTCTCCATCCTCGTCTTTTCAACACTGGTGGAAGAAATAAAGAGATGAATCTATCACTGTTTCTGTATTTGTGTATCTTCGCTTGTCAGCATCATTTGGAGTAAGACCTCAAGTGAGTCTGGTCATAGACATTCAACACTGTGATGAAAACCTCAAATATGAGGCCATACATTTTTTATTTTTCCACGGGCCCTCCGACCCTACTCAAAAGCAGCTTGTCAAAAAAAGCATGAAACATAAAAATATATATTTTTATTATCTTATAAAATCTTATACCCTCTTATACAAAATAAAATGGTATACATAAAGTCCATGTCTAAATCACTAGCAGTGATTCAAGAGGCCACCTGCAGTTGACTCCACAGCAGAATTATTTTCATATAAATAAATAAATGATTGACATTTATTATTATTTCGTCTGACCTTGTGTGGAAAAGACTGAATAAATCTGTGAAACACAAAATTAAAAAGTGTGGCCACTGTGGTGCAAACTCACGCCAAAAGAGTTAAAAATTATGTCGCATCAGCATTATTTTAGTCACAGACCTACCCAGAATCACAATGGCAGCAAATCAGGGATTTATACCCACCATCAGCAGATTACTCCTTTATAAAGACACAACTCTTTAGACCATTCACACCCCAGGAATTAAACTGTTTATTTTTGTAGGGGGCAGTGGGGTAGCCTAGTGGTTAAAGTGTTCGCTCATCACACTAAAGACAGGGGTTCGATTCCTGACATGGGTATAATGTGTGAAGCCTATTTCTGGTGTCCCCCACCGTGATATTGCTGGGATATTGCTAAAAGCAGTGTAAAATCAAACTCACTCACTCACTATTTTTGTGGGTTTAGGGGTTCAAGGTTTAACATCCACATCAATTAGAATAATTGATTATTTAAAATATTTTTAAAATACATTTTACTTCATTTCAAAGTACATGCCATGAAATATATAAAGTGGGCAAATACACTTATAATCAACTTAGATCACTTGATAAAACTAATGATGAACAACGTTTGACGTTAGCAGTAATTTGACTGCGACATAGAGAAAATATTTTATGAACGCTTCTATTCTCATTCTGATTGACAGAGGGTCGTCAGTTGCTTCAATTTTTAGTGATAATGGATTCTGTTGTTTTTATTTGCAATATTTTCAATTTGACAAATATCACTCATTATTTTGGTGAATAAAAATAATGAATATATTTGAAGCAATATTTTCAATTTGACAAATATCACTCATTATTTTGGTGAATAAGAATAATGAATATATTTGATCTTATTTATTTGATCTTGTTTGGCCCTGTTTATGAAGGCTGCTTTGGTTGTTTGGTAGACGTCATTCACCAGTGATATTCCAGATACAGTTGCATCCACAGAACACTGGCGCTGAAAGCTTAGTGCAGGTTGGAACAGCCAATGGTTGCATCCACAAAGTTGCGAAGTTGTTTTTCTGTTTGCTGAAGTGAAGTTAATGACAACACAATCTCTTTTGAATTCTACCACTGAGAATAGACAGCAATGGTGCAGTAATAACAAGGCCGTAGTTAACTTTTTTTGACAGGGAGGGCTGGCTACGGCTGGCTACGGCACTGAATAATACTAGTGTATTTTTGTCCCAGGCCTCGAAAACCCGTGGTTGAGGGTGTGAAGACCTCACAATGGAGGCGTTTTTCCCTGAAAGTTGAAACAATTCCATACCAAGAACCTATAAGCAGTTAGTTTATAGTTAAAGGACGTTATTTTTTGTTGTCTTATTCTGTCATACTATTCTGTACTATTCTCTGAAATTGATTTAATCAGAATTCAGTCAGCTTGAGACCACTTCTGTGGTGTCGTGGACAGAGCGTCTGCCCGGAATGCGTTAGAAGATGGTACTTGTTCTTACCCTGCCTGGCGCTCGGCATTAAGGGGATAAAACAATTCGGCTCGGAGTTGGTATACTTGTCTGATTGGGGTATTCATGTTAAACTGTGGCATGGTATTTCAGCGGGTAGCACTATAAAACAGTGCACTAGTCTGTACTGGTACAGGTCGCCACAAACACAGTCAGCAATATATCAGCTAGGTCACAGCAACCTGTAAATTATCGAATATGGACCAGGAAAAAACCCAGTGATGTGAACATCGGGTACGAACACACAAGTCCCCGAGTCAGAGTTGGTGGAGTCTCCTAATGACTTCCCCAGCAACCTGTACACCTAGAAATTAATGAAGCACCCCAAGGTTTTGCGACCACATCTGTCAAACAACAAGGTATTTTTCACAAGCCTGAGCTGTGGTAGATAATTTAATGTCTTGTGTAAGATGAGTCTCTTGACTTATGAAAACACAGAGAATGATGAAAATGTTCAAATTGATAACTACGAAAACTATGCATGAATTGTTTGATAGGCATTACTTAGAAGTTGACTGACGTCAAAGTAGACGCCATTTATGGATAACAACTTCTTTAATACTGTAAAGACGACGGTCTTGCTTGACAACGGCATAAGGATCTATAACGAAACGTCGCCTTTACAGTTTTAAAGAAGTTGTTATCCATAAATTGTGCCTACTTGACGAAAACTAGGGATGCGGGAAGTTCCATGATCAGGCATGAACGACCATTACTGTCCAAAAACGTTCATTGTTATTTTTCAAAGGTAATCACAATCCTGAAAATAATTAGCGAGTGTAAAAACCGCCTTGTACCTGGACGACAGATTCCACACTTCTCCTTATTCCTCCGACCGCCTCCGTGGTCTAGTGGTAGAGCGTCCGCCCGGAGAGCGGTCCGGGGTTTGATCCCCGGCCGCGTCATACCAAAAGACGTTAAGAGATGGTACTTGTGGTACCCTGTCTGGCGCTCGGCATTAAAGGGCTAAAACAAGGACTGGTCGGCTCGGAGTCAGTATACTGTGTCTGAGTGGGGAATTCATGTTAAACTGCGGCATGGTATCTCAGTGAGCTAGCACTATAAATGGGCATCAGTCCGGACTAGTACAAGCAGCCACACAAACACAAACACGTACATGCACGTCGCTATATAAGTGCAATAAACCTACACCATTTTTCAAAAATACACAACAAAATCAAACCTCACAAAGCATGGACAGTTGCTAAGCATTGGCCCTTACTAAAAGACTCCTGCAAATTTGTTGTGGACATGTGCGCACTCTGGCGGCCAGGCAGAGTACATGGTCACTGCGAACGTTGTGACAAAGGTTATAATGATCTTCTGGTCCATATGATATGCCACTGCAGAGCATCAGAATTCATCAGGGATCGTATGTGGTGTGAAATTGTCAACTGTTGTCCAGTAGAATTGAGCGTTACCTTACACTCCATGTGTGACGTTGACCTAGTGTGCAGTCTATTGTCATGCACACCTCCTGTACAAGCGAGTGAAGAAGACAATGAGCTGTTTGCAAGAACTGTAATCCAGAACATACACCAACTGTGTTTGACACTATATCCTGACCCTTAACCTAATCTTGTTATTTCTCTTGTTAATATCTGTATAACCGTAATGAATTACATGTAACTCTCCTATGGAGGAATAAAGATGATAATAATAATAATCAAGAGGTAACTGCTGCCACTCCCAATGCAACACAGCCTCTGAAGCTGCCACGTTCTGTACTGATGGATCCATTGCCTACAGCCGACGCCCAAGAATGTCCCAAATATGTTCCAATGGATTCAAATCTGGACTCAAAGGGACCAAGGCAAAGTGTCCTTGCAGAAATGCAGTACCAGCACGATAACGACGAGGTCTAGCATTGTCGTCAAAAAACACAGTGATGCGTTCTTTGAACCTGACAACGCCCATCAACAATGTACACACACCCATTCAACCTCTATAAAATTTGATAATTTTAATTTTTAACATCCGATTTTTAAAACGCTGCTCACATAATTATAGTCGATCTCGTCCATTGTCGAAAACAGATGGAAGACAGCAACGAAGGACAAAGCTAATATCCCCAGAATCCCCACGTGGGCACATTTGTGAGATCAAGGGAAATGGATCTTATCTTAAACCTCGTAAGTTAATAAAATTAGTTAAGATCCTTCGAAAATCTAGACCCTGGACGAATCTAGGATTCGAACCCACTCTATACTGACTGCACAGCAAGTTGTGACGCTTGTCTACTGGCCTACCAACACCCCGACAATCAGCCATGGTTTCATCGGCATTAGGCCATAGGTAGTCGTATCTATACCTAGTGTATAAATTTCATAACCCATGTAACCTACGACGACTCGACCTAGCTCAGATAATAGAGAGAATATTAGATCTGTGAGATCCGAGAAGTGTGATTTTATTTGCGCTATTCCCGTCCATAGGCGAGGTTGCAACACAGAGTTACCCCCCTTGGTACGTGGCAGGCTCTCCAATCCACCAAAACGAGTGGAGCGCAACAAGCCTTTTACAAACACTGATCTGGACTTGTCCAAAGGCACTACGTTTGCTGAAAATGTAGGCAAAATGCGAAAATTGGAATATAAACCGTAAACATTCAGGGTATTATAGATCACTAATGTTATGGCCCTGGAGAGACGACTCGTATCCTCGAGCAGGACCAAGAGGCTTCATGATTGATAACATTATTGCATCAAATTCAGTTTTAAAATACAATGACAAGATATCTCGATATTTAGGAAAATAAATTTTAAAGAACCCAATTTTGAACAAAATAACGGTTTTATTTCAAATTGCCCTTCAGGCTGATGCTGTACGTGTGACAATGGAGTAAGCTGAAAGGTGATTATAACAGTCACAGTAACCATGGTTACGGATGTACCCTGCTCGACATGCGTGTTAGTGTAGTTTTATTTAATAGTGTTCAGATTTGTTCTCTTTTTTATGTTTCAGTTTTGAGAAATGTGAGTGGAATGTTTAATATTGTTATTTTTACAGTTACCTATGTCATAATAAATAAATAGTACTGGTGGTGGTAGTGGTAGCAGCTGTTGTAGTAGTAATAGGTGTAGTAGGAGCAGCAGCAGCAATACAGTAGTGGTCGTAGCAGTAGCAGCAGCAGTAGTAAAGTAGTGGTCGTA